TAACCAGACTCTGCCTCAATAAATTAGAGAGAGAGAGAGAGAGAGAGAGAGAGAGAGAGAGAGAGAGAGAGATGATAGATAAATCTTTCCTTAGGTGATTTCTGATTTCTGCCCTGATTCTAAAATGTGTCCTGGAACCAACATTGCCCTACTGGGATTTGGAATGAGGATCTGCCTTTTAGGAAGTGCTCTGGGTGATGTGGACAGCTGCTAGAATCTCAGCCCAGCCCAGGTTTCACCATAAATGCATTTTCATCAGAGAAAGTTTTTTGTAGTACTTTTGATGGATGTGCTAGATCTTTGGAGCTCTCAGGTTCATGAGAGAGAGATGGAGACTACACCATGCAAGTCCTCTCATTCTCTAACAGGTAGCAAGCATTCTGCAGAACATGAGAGAAAGAAAAACTTCCCCTGATACAGCTACCCTTGACTACAAAGATTGAATATATATATGTTTGTGTGATATATATATATCACACAAACATATATAGATAGATATAGATAGATATAGATATAGATATAGATATAGATATAGATATAGATATAGATATAGATATAGATAGATAGATAGATAGATAGATAGATAGATAGATAGTAAGTGAGCACCCCATGTAATCAAGGAAGGAACCCCAGGGGTGATTCCCAAGTCTTTGGAGAAGAGGCTGCTCCTCAAGCCAGAGCAGCTCTAACTATGCGTAGATTTATCCTGGGCAGCAGTTGATGCTACTATTTGTAGGTGTGGTGTGCACTTACTGTTTCTTATCACTTATACCTTTTGCTTTTAAAAAAATTATTTTATATATGTGAGTACACTGTTGCAGTCTTCAGACACACCAGAAGAGGGCATCAGAGCCCATTACAGATGGTTGTGAGCCACCATGTGGTTGCTGGGAATTGAACTCAGGATCTCTGGAAGAGCAGTCAGTGCTCTTAACCACAGTGCCATCTCTCCAGCACCATCTTTTGCTTTTCTAAAATGGCTTAGCCATTCACTCCTCCAAGGATTGTAGAATATCATGCCCAGGAAGATCCTAACTGCCTAATATGATCAAAATTCTGGGCTCTAAGCTCAGAGGCCAAACATGGACATCTATAAAAATGCATACTCAAGTATAAACTGTATAGTAGTTTTCTTTTTAATGAAAGTGTGTATGTGCATATGGATACCTGTGCAAACCAGTGTACAACCTCAAGCATCACCCTCTGCAATGCTACCTGCTTCCTTTAAGACAAGATCTCCCTCTTGTTCAGAACTAACCACATTGGCTAGACTGATGGGTCCAGGAATCCTGTGTGTACCTCCAGCGCTGGCATTGCAAGACTTTAACACCTCCTGCTTTTTATATGAATACTGGCGACCAAACTCAGAACTTCATGGTTAAACAGCAAGTACTTTAACAACTGAGCTGTCTCCCCAGCCCCCTGCAGCAGTGTTTCTAATTTTCAAAAATAGAAATAAATTATGGAAAGGGGATTGCCTCAATTCTTAGAAGTCATAGGTATCCTACTCAAAGATTGGGAGTTGTCTGTTTTGACATTTTTGCGTGTAATATAACTCAATTTCTGTTTTTAAAAAGTTCATATTATAAATAAGCATAAAAATCTGCTGATATACCCACTGATCTATACAAAGAACACTCTTAGGAAGTGAAACTGTGTTACAGGAAGCAGCTTTTGATTTTTTAGTAGACCCATCTTCAGTGTCTGCATTAGATGTAGCAATCACGTGTTACTTTTATTAGTTAAAAAAATTTCAAAAAGTAAAAATTATTTCATCAGAACTATGTCTTCTGAATGTGTTTTCCTATACCATCCCATTTAGCTACATATTTTAGGCTCATTAATTAGCTATAACACAATATAATCTAGTTGATTAAGTTTGGCGTCTCCTAGATTAAACCTAATTCAGTCTCCATCCCTTGGAATTAGATCTAGTTTAATTCTGCCCCCTCCAAGAGTTCTTATTGTTTTTTAAGATTAATTTTATTTATTTATGTATGTCTATGCATGCAGATGTGCATGCAGATGCCCTCACAAGTCAAAAGAAAGCATCACATGTCCTGGAGCTAGAATAACAGGCAGCTGGGTAACACCTGATGTGTGTTAGAAGCTGTACTCTAGCCCTCTGCAAAAGCAGCAAACACTCCCAATCGCTAACCACTGAGCCTTCTCTCCAGACTCAGATTCTTGATTGATGTTAGTGATGGCTCTTCATCTGTTTGCTTCAGTGCCTGTGCTCTAATAGTGCTGCTTATTAAGCTATGGTTGATTAAAACCTTAGATTTCTAATTAATAAATTGCTACTAAATCAGAACCACTTTTTTTTTTTTTTACAAATCATGGCTCAGATGCTTGTCTCCTTTTGCTAAATTTTATCTCATAAATTCCAGTCAACCATTCAAGTTTGTTAATGTAATTCTGTGTCTTTGATTTTATCATAGAAGATACCCCTTTAAGTTTGGCAGAATATGAAATTTTCATCACTATAAAGGCTGTAAAATATATACTCAATTACTCAATACATACCAATGAGACTTTTGGTAAACTTTTCTGTTGAAAATGACTGACACTTTCTTAATCTTACTTTGAAGGCGAGCTCTCATATAAAACTGGGCAACTTCCTGAGCCCAAGGGAAGAAACACACGGGACCCAGAGGCAAGGCAGAAATAGGCAGCACTTTCTTCTTGCTTTACCTCTGCTTCTTTATGCTCCACCTCAACCACACATCCCACCCCTATCACACGTACACAGCACACTGCCTCACACCTAGCTGGCACCTACTCGGGCCCTCAAGTGAGGGCTTGATGAGGAGGCACTTGTCCTCCTCTTTACTTGGGATTTATATTCCGGGCCCAGAGCCCGTCCAGTCCAGTGTTACTACCATTTTCCTGTTGTGTGTATCAAAGAGTGTGGATGCATGCATGCATATAGAGGTCAGAGGACAGCTTAGGGAGTCAGTTATCCTCTTCCACTGTGGGCTCTGGGGAATAGTAAGGTCCTTAGACTTGCACAACAAGCATTTTCCTCTCTGCATCATCTTGCTGGCCCCATTCCAGTTCTTTGTATGTTTTGATAGTCTTTGAGATAAAGTCTGTTTATATAGCCTTGAACTCTCTGTATTACCTAGGCTGTGATTCCCTTGCCCTAGCCCTACTGTTG